AATACCGCGAACGTTTGTTGATTTGGTGAAAAGGTGTTGTGACACAGGGTGTTTGAAGGAACATGCATAGAGAATATGTGGGAATAAGGCAAGTACACTCGTCTTCAGTTAACATGTCGCGGTTGTACGGTATGAGCACTCTTACTGGGACGGTGATTAAGAGAGCTGACACCGTCCATGTGCGACATGTTCTCTGAAGACGACTGTACCACAATGGAAGAGCTATTGAATTTCGTTATTTTGCAACTTTTATATGGTTTGAAGAGTCCTATACCTCCTGTTATGAAATGCCTCACTTTTGAGAACACCCTGTATGTATCTCCTATCAAAATAAAATAAAAAACTAGACAAAAAACACTAACATGGGTTATGCAGTGTGGTTGTATTTTGTTCGTGATGTGTATCTGAATGTGGATATAGGTATATTTTATTTTGTATCAACAATTTCCCAGAATAGAATTTATTTTATTATAAAACTTGGAATCATCAGTATAACTATACTTAGAATAATATTGTCTAAAAATGGACGATTGTCTATCACAATATGTACTCTACAATCTACATACAGGGTGCAAATACTTTTTAAAAAATCAAATGAATTTGTGCATAAGGATACGTATGTACATATTATCTGTGCGTGAGTAAACGTATACAAGGTATTTCAATTCAAAATTGATAAATGAATCAAAGACTAGTAATATTTTATGGTGATCTGAAATTTGAAAAAATGATATTTTCTCAACCATAGGAAAAACGGAATAGATAAATATCCATGCACATAGTTTTTTGGAACATGAAGATTATACAGGGTGTGTCATAACTATTATTACATAGACTATGGGCGGATGGTTTGAACGAAAATATGGCGATATGACCGAATATGCATCATCAAGAAAATATTGCTGTGGAAAAAGATACAGAGGGTGTTTAAATCGAAAAAGTATTGACTATGAACTCGCACCAAATTCATGACAGTCCAAAGCACACTCTTTCATGTCTTTGAACTGTTCAATTGCGTTTTTCTCGAAAACGGGTAAAAATATCGATTTTTAAAAAGAGTTACTTTATGTTAGGTATAAATGATGTTGATGTCATATTTTCTAATCAAAATCGTTAAGTTTCGTCAAAAAAAAAATTGATCGATTTCATCATCAGGAATATTCCCTGTATAAAAGTATGTTATGACTCACCCTGTGCAGGGTAATAGTTTGTCTTTTATTCAATAACTATCTCAGAAAATATTTGCCTACAGAAACAGTGAAATGGGTAACAGCGAGTATTTTTATGAATATTCATAATTTAGTACTAGAAAATGCAAAAAACATCGTAAACCTACATAAACTGATATTTTTTCAAATGGAACACAAATACAAGTTCATGTAAAAATTTCAGGTTTTTCAGATGTTTTTTTTTTTGCATTTTCTAGTTCTAGATTAATCCTGAATGCCCATAAAAAATACACCACTTTTGTCCATTTGGATGTTTATATCAATATATCAACTGAGATAGCTATTGAGTAAAATATAAATAATCGCCCTGTACATATGATTTGTGATACAATAATTAAATGAGATATTGCAGCTGCAGTCTCGTAATAGACTGCTTCCTGTAGCTTAATTTTTCTTGATTTTTTTTTATGCGACGGTTTTTGTCTACTTTTCTATCGTATCTTGTACAGCATCACTAACATTACGCAGCCCACTACGCATACATACATTAAATCACGTTTTTTTCCCCTGTTAGGGGTTGGCACTCTATAAAAATTAAGAAATTCCAAGATTACTCAACTATTGGTAAAGGATGCTCTACTTTTTTATTTTCACCATCAGAAATTGATGCTAACAACAACAAAAAAGTCAACTTTTCCACTGACCTTTATATTTTCAACGATTTATTTCATTCTGTTTTTGTGGTATCAACTGTTATGGTAATTTTTCAAATCCCTTGTTTCAATTGGGTAACTGATAAGAAAAAACACCATTGAACAGTGTTCAGTGATAAATATACAGGGTGTTTCTGAAGTACGTGTAGAAAATTCAGGAGCATGTTGCTGACGTCAAAATGAGAAGAAAAATTCAGACTTCAGTTCGATATAGTCACCAAGCCATTATCGCTTTTCCAGTATAAAATGACACGCTGAATCGAATGAGACCATAATCAGCTCCATAGGACAGATAGTTTTCGAGATATCAGCGCTCAAAGTCAGCTTTCCGCATTTATTGCCAATAGGAGTACTGCGGTAGGCTACTACGTCTCCATTTTCCAGAATTTCTCGATTTCCACTACAGATTCGTTCATTTCGACTTCGAATTAGTCTATGTGAATTTTTTCAGATTTTTAATGGGCCAAATAAAAATTTTCATTTTCCCACCTAAGACTTCCATACGATATAGTCACCGAGCCATCTTCGGACGGCCGAAAGTGCCAGAAAACGGCAGAAATCCACGCAAGTTATCACTTTTCCAGTAGAAAATGACCTGCTGAATCGAATGAGACTATAATCAGCCTCGTAGGACAAATAGTTTTTGAGATATCGGCGCTCAAAGTCAGCTTTTCGCTTTTTTTGCCAATAAGGAGCACTCCGGTAGACTACTACGTCTGCATTTTCCAAAATTTCCCAACTTCCACTACAGATTCGTTCATTTCGACTTCGAATTAGTCTATGTGAATTTTTTCAGATTTTTAATAGGCCAAATAAAAATTTTAATTTTCCCACCTGAGACTTCAGTTCGATATAGTCACCGAGCCATCTTCGGACGGCCGAAAGTGCCAGAAAACGGCAGAAATCCACGCAAGTTATCACTTTTCCAGTAGAAAATGACCTGCTGAATAGAATGAGACTATAATCAGCCCCGTAGGACAAATAGTTTTTGAGATATCGGCGCTCAAAGTCAGTTTTTCGTTTTTTTTGCCAATAGGAGCACTCCGGTAGACTACTACGTCTGCATTTTCCAAAATTTCCCGAATTCCACCACAGATTCGTTCATTTCGATATCAAATTAGTCTATGTGAATTTTTTCAGATTTTTAATAGGCCAAATGAAAATTTTCATTTCCCCACCTAAGACTTCCATACGATATAGTCACCGAGCCATCTTCAGACGGCCGAAAGTGCCAGAAAACGGCAGAAATTCACGCGAGTTATCGCTTTTCCAGTAGAAAATGACCTGCTGAATCGAATGAGACCATAATCAGCCCCGTGGGACAGATAGTTTTCGAGATATCGGCGCTCAAAGTCAGCTTTTCGCTTTTTTAGCCAATAGGAGCACTCCGGTAGACTACTACGTCTCCATTTTTCGATATTTCTCGATTTCCACCACAGATTCGTTCATTTCGATATCGAATCAGTCTATGTGAATTTTTTCAGATTTTTAATAGGCCAAATAAAAATTTTCATTTCCCCACCTAAGACTTCCATACGGTATAGTCACCGAGCCATCTTCGGACGGCCGAAAGTGCCAGAAAACGGCAGAAATTCACGCAAATTATTGCTTTTCCAGTAGAAAATGACCTGCTGAATGAGATCATAATCAGCCCCGTGGGACAGTTCGTTTTTGAGATATCGGCGCTCAAAGTCAGCTTTTCGCTTTTTTTGCCAATAGGAGCACTCCGGTAGACTACTAATCTCAGAAACGGATAACTTTTGGATATGTTTATACGAACTCTTTTTCTTATTTTGACGTCAGCAACATGCTCCTGAATTTTCAACACGTACTTAAGAAACAATCCTGTATAATTTTCAGGTTGAAAGTCCTTTTTAATTGCTGAGCAGTGTATTACAGTGACAATACACTAGGCAGAAATAAACAAAATTTCAATTGCTGATGGTTTCAATTTTGTATAGCTGTCTACAGGGTGGGCCACCAGTAACGCCTCGGTCTCTAGAAGGCTAACCACTTATCTTCTTGGAATTCTTCCTCTCTAGGAAGTTGCATGTCAACATAGGCTACCATTTAAAATTATTTCGAAACATACAGGGTGTCCCCAAAAACCATAAAACACTGAAGTTAAACTTTTTTCTATCGAACACCCTATATATTATTTCATTTTGAGATTCTCCCTGATGAGCTGATTTCAACGACCCATCATACTTGGGGTCTAGCAGTTATAATTACTGAAATATAGGGTGTGAAAAATCGAGATTTTCCAAGTTCAAGAATTTTTTGTGTCGAAACTATTCATAATTGGTCAAAACGGCTCACATGTCCCTATCTCAACTTTTGATCAACTATCTACTGACATTTAAATGAAACAAATACAGGGTGGTGCAGAATTCGGAATCTTGATCACCCGGTATATGTCCCAATTAAATATTAGTAGTTTGTTAATCAAAAGTTGAGATAGGGACATGTAAGCCGTTTTGACCAATTATGAATAGTTTCGACACAAAAAATTCTTGAACTTGGAAAATCTCGATTTTTCACACCCTATATTTCAGTAATTATAACTGCTAGACCCCAAGTATGATGGGTCGTTGAAATCAGCTCATCATGGAGAATCTCAAAATGAAATAATATATAGGGTGTTCGATAGAAAAAAGTTTAACTTCAGTGTTTTGTGGTTTTTGGGGACATCCTGTATGTTTCAAAATAATTTCAAATGGTAGCCTATGTTGACATGCAACTTCCTAGAGAGGAAGAATTCCAAGAAGATAAGTGGTTAGCCTTCTAGAGACCGAGGCGTTACTGGTGGCCCACCCTGTATACTTCCATGTTGGGTACCTACTTAACTACTGGGATTTCAGGACATATCATTTCACTAGCGCTTTCAAAACAAAACGATTTTTTTTGTTGAACAATTTCGAGTGATTGTTTCGTGTGGGGTGACTATGGGGTGTGTGTGTCGATGAAAATTTTCCAGGCATATAACTCGAAGAACAACAAGAAATAAATGTATATCGACGAACAGTAAGGAAGTTTCAGATGAAACAGAACACGTATGAAAAATTCCAACAAGAAAAAGGGACATGCAACAAATCCATATAGTTACTTGATGACTTACCTCGCACTGTGACTCAACATTATGATATTTCTGCAACAAGATACTTTTCTCAAATACTGGCATTTAATTGATATAGCTGGGGTAGATACTGGGTGATTAACAATTGGCGTCCCAGATCGATCAAATCTCACTTTACAAAATGTTTTATAGATTTTCAACAAAAAGGTCGACAGAAAAAACAAATATGATATCACCGAGAAACTTGTCTGAACTTTAGAAAATATAATTATTATAGAAATCATTATTCACTACGTAGAAATCATCCATATTTCTCAAAGTGGTCCAAGCGATTTTTAGATGAAAGAGCAATAAAAGTCACAGAGTCTGTCGACCACGAAAATATATTTTATTTAAAAAAAATTATGTATTCGGAAGTACCTAAAAGATATGAAATGAAATGTCCATCTCTGCCATAATTATCTTTTTCTACAAACGTCAAAAAAAGTGACACTTTTTGTCAGTTTCCTACGTTACCATGATACCTTGCACAAAACAGTGCGCGAAGTAAAACAGTAGGTACTTCGCGCATTGTTATGTAAAATATATGAGATATTTCTATTTCAACTTTATGGTCCTCAATCGAGCAAAGATCCACGAAATCATTTGTTTCTGGATGTTCAACAATAACTTTGTTTTATCTCTTGGAGCGCACGTAAACAAATTCCTTTTATGTTCGTGGAACATCTTTACGTACTTAGGAAGGATAGGGGGAGGCCTTTCATGCCAGTTCAACACTATTTTTTATATCAAGCTGAGCATATTCTTACATAAGAACTATATTTTTTTACTTTTGTAGAAAAAAATGTTGTTTGCAACTCGAGCGCGAAATACTTTGGTCATCTCGACTATTTTTTTAACTCGGCTACACCTCGTTAAAAAAATCAGATCTTGATCACCAAAGTAGCACTTCGCGCTCTAGATACAAAAATAACTATTGAGGTACTTCCGAATACATCATTTTTGTGTCTGATGATGGCCTGTGGCCGAGACTAGTTACACAGACTTTGTGACTTTTATTGCTTCTTCTTCTAATCATTATTCAATGTCTGAGTGTGTGTGGAATTAAAAACAACACGCTGTGAAAATTTGTGGGAATCTTTGTGGTCCAATTATTGATCACCCTATAGAAGGTGATCACGGTAACATTAAATTCATTTATCACACAGAGAAATCAATCTTATTTCTACGAAAATGCCGATTTTTTTAAATGATGATATTGACGATGGTAACGTGACCACCCTGTGTATACAATCTATGATGACAATATTATATTTTTACAATGTTCATAATAATCGTGTGGAAAGAAGAAAAGGTCGATAGCTTTGTGAAAAATAGCTGAAAGAAATGAAATAGTCAACTGATCTGTCGATCACTTTGAACATTCAAATAATTTCCTAATTTGATATGATGATTGATTCAAATCGATTTCAAAATGAGCGAATGTTGAATGTGATCGATTTTAGGACGTATTCAAAGTGTGTCATATTCTTTAAAAGTTTCGAAAATCATTTACACGGTGTCCCATTATGAAAATGCACTCTTCTAAACCATGGAAAAAAAAACAGCGCTATAGGAATGGCTTACATGAACACAGAATCACAGAAAATATGTTGGATGAGAGAAAAAAAAAGGGCTATACCACGTGATTTTCCAAGTTGACTCACCCCTATAACTTTTTTATTATCGAAGGTAGTGAAACGAAATTTGGGGGTTGTGAATCATTGTCCAATTGACATATTTTAGCACATCTACTTGCTTTGCTATACTTCCGGTTTGACCGGAAATAACCCCAACTTTCGATTTCTGAATGAGACACCCTGTATTTTATTCCTCAATCGGTTAGGGATTAACATAACGAATTCAACGATACCGGATTTAATAATAATAATAATAATAATAATATGTATTTATTGACAGAAGTAAAATATAAGACAATACAATCTTCAATAGAAATGTCTGCCAATGGGTAACAAGATTGGATAACTCCATTCTTACTCTTGCACCAAGAAAGAAGAAAAAGATTTATATATGTATACATACACGATAATTTAAATCTATGATAATTTAAATACGACACACACAGGAATATATTGAATCAGGATATTAATTGTAGAAGAACACATATTGTGAATTAACATACGATAATTAGTATAGAATTGGAACATATTTGACATGCAATGGAGCATGTTTATCGAATAGGGAGTGTATGTGGAAATAGAAGTAATCAATTTTATCATCAATATCGTCTATTAAGTACATAGGAATCCAAGGTAGCGAATTCAAATCGTTGGAAAAGTGTTCAATATTGAAGTTCCGAAAAGTTTTGGATATCACATTTCTGGAGCCCTACATCACAATAAACCAAAAAGTGGTCCGTGAGATGATGTAAATCTAGCGTTCCCCAAACATCAAGTTTCAAATTGTCATGAACGATAATATAGTCCAATAAGGATGATGAGGTTTCCATGTGTGACGGCACAACATCGAAACTTCTTTCAAGTATCTTCGTAATCATTGAATAGGAATAGTCTCAGATATAATTATGAACATAAAAAAATGGATATATATACCTATATAAAGAAATACATTGAGAATTCGTATTCTCTATGTGATGAAATTTTCAAACAATTCCTTCTCGGTTTATTCAACAGAAAATTTTTTGCTCAAGTAGAAATCCAATAAAATCAGTTAATTTGTGAACATCTGATTGAACACAACCAATCAAATCAACATTGAACTGAAAACAGATCCCATGATCTGTTTTCACTATATTATGTTGCTATGGATACATTATGTTTCATTTCGATTTTGACATATCAAATAATTAATATTTCAAAATGTCACGATTTGGCTGTAATACTGATGAGAATATCGATGAAATTATCAAATCAAATATCCCAAAGAATACTGTTTACAGTAAAAAATTTGTATGGAAAGCCTTTATGGACTTCTGCAATGTTAGAAAATATGAATTAGATGGAAATCGGACAGTGGAAGAATTGGCGTCGATTTTAAAGGATTGGGCTGTGAACATGAGAAAAAAAGATGGTACAGAGTTCAAAGAAGCTACTGTTAAAACCATGTGGAACCTAACAAGTAAGCTACTACAAGAAAAATATTATAAAGAAATGCATGTTATTATAGACCCATTCAAAAGTGTTGTATTTCAACAAGCGCGAGCTGCCCGCGATACTATACGAAGAAAACTACAATCGGATCCCTGTAAAAGGAAACAAAGTTCAGCGGCGTTAAGTGCAGAAGAAATAACAAAAAATGATAAATTTGTGGGATGAGAATACCCCTGAAGGGCTGCAACGGAAATTTTATCACATAGTCGCCGTTGAATTAGCTTGGAGAGGTGGAGAAGCTGCTGTTTGTTTGACTGACTTCTTTCGTATCGAATCAAATAACGATGGTTCTGTATCAAATCGAGTTGAATATAACCCTGTATTCAGCAAGACTTGCCAAGGTGGTTCGAAAATGTGTGCTGACAGCAAATTTTTAGTCGAAAACAACGACAGCAACGTATGTCCCGTCAGGTTATTTAAAAAATTGTTATCAAAAAGGGGCCCAAATATCAAAACGAATAGATTATTTCTAAGAACAAATCGGTACTGGAAAGCCGAAAGTGATCATTGGTATGATAATATGCCCATTGGAAAAAATATGATTCAGAATTGGACAAGAACGTCTGCAGAAGCGATTGGCTTGAAAACCAAGGAGAAAAAAATCACAAATCACTCCAATAGATCAACCGCGGTCAGTCGATTGGCCAAAAGTGGTGTACAAGAGCAAGAGCTTATAAAAATTACTGGGCATAACAATCCCAACTCAATAAAACCCTACTTGAATATTGACGAAGAACATCACAATAAAATTATTAACAGAATGCGTAGTGGAAATGCATCTTCATCAATTATAGAAACTAACACGGCTGGATCTTCATTACATTTTTCTAATTGTTCTTTTGTTAATTGCACATTCAAATAAATTGTTTTTGTTTCTGTTCCTATTTTTTCCGCATTGTCAGCAAAAAATTTTCTATTCGAATAACCCTCGAATATTGATAAATGCTCAAAAAAATTTTTAACAACTTTCTCAAGCTTGTTGCTTATAGGCAATAGACCTCCGCCTACGGCGTCGGTCTGTTTCCAAGCAACAAGCTTTCGAAATCTGTTATAAAATTTTTTCGAACAATTATCAATGTCCTTGGGTTATTACTACTGAAAACAACTAGTTTCATGGCTTCATGCTCCGACGATATCTCTATGTTGAACACACACGATAAGAATTTGACAACAAAATCTTCTGAAGTAGAGAATTTGCATTCTCCTTCATATAAAGATATCGCGGAAAATATAATTGCTAATCTGGCAACTATATATATGTCTACAAGAGAAAGAGATGAGCCAACTGGCGCTAAATGTTGCAAAGTTAAAAATACCTCTTTCCCAGCATAACTTCACTGTTCTTATTTCTCAATATTACTAATATTACTAACATCAATAGGAATAGAACCAAGTAAGCAATTTAGTATTGATGGATTCAGAATTTGTTTCCCTATGGTAGATAGATAAAGGTAGAAACCGAGGTAGAAACATAATGAGTTGAACTTGAAAGTTATTCACTGGAAGGGTTATGAAACTGAATGTCATGAATATCTGCACTGTAATTCAATGCAAAATAAAATTTAAATTTCAATTTTGGATAATTCTCCAACAGAAATCAACCAACTAATTATTCATGCAATGCACATTTTTAATACCACAAATTTTCAGGTAGATGATTATTAGTTGAGATTTCTAACAGCATATCGAGGAATGAATATCCGACTGATCACAGCTTTCTGTCCAAGTTGGCAACATTGTCAAGTCCATCGTTCATTTTATTGGCACCCGCAAGAAGGTCGGGAATTACCAATCCAAATTGCTCGCGCACTGACGTCACACTTTTCGCGGCCATGTCTGATCGTTATTTGAATTCGTTCGTTCATTTTGGCGTTTTCAATAATTTTTTATACGATATACTGATGGAAAATTTCAAAAAAAAATTTAAGGAATTCCGCCATATATTTCAAGATATATTTTTGGAAAGGCACTGATCCCTTACCAATTATGGAGTAATATAAAGAGTGTCTCATTTAAAAATCCAAAGTTGGGGTCATTTTCCGATAATAAAAAAGTTAGAGGGGTGAGCCATCTTGAAAAATCGCCCGGTATACACATATTGACTTACACAGCCACTTTAGAAGAGGAGCAATAGTGAAAAATTTCATGGAAAGGAACTTGCCACTAATATCTATTGGAAATTGTCATCTATTCATATTCAATTACCGTTTTATCTTCAGAAAACAAAACTTCGGTACAGGAGACCTATGTAGAGTGCATATTTTGTTTGGGGCACCGTGTACATAAAAAAAATTAATAGATAATAATTTATATTAATTATGACGCGATATGACGCACTTCAATTATGAAACTAAAGTCGAATGAGTTGATGCTGAAGCCAAATTATAGGTAAAAATATAATTACCGACTGCAAGGGGAGATGAAAAGTATACAGGGTGATCCTGATATTCTGAATTACAGTCAAAATGGTGAGCCAGAATTGTGAAATGAAACTTCGTATTTCATCTTGAATGAAATTGTATGTAGTAATACGCTTCAAAATTATTGACATCAATTTTGAATCACCCTGTATAGTGAAACGCATGCGGAGTACGCAATACTTGATGATATTCGCCTGTGGAATACAATTTCGATAAACTAAGAAAACTACTCAAAGCTTGAAATGTAAATCTTCAAGTATTTGTTTGTACAAATTCTACTGCTTCTGATTCGAAAGCTATACAGGGTTTCCCAAAAGAACCGGAACGGTCGAATATTTCAGCAACGACTTGACATAAAAATATGTAATTTGGTATACGGGGGTTATCAGTAGTGCCGGATCTGAAAATAATATTTGCAACGTTGCCAGATTTACAGTTTTTCCTATGGATCCCTCAACTTCATTGTTTCAAATGTAATGCTATATATATTTTCAGCGCATTCGATTTATCATGTTCGAATTACTATGACCCTATAATATCATATTTTAATTCGCCTAATTTTCGTTAATATGGCAATTCAACATTTCGTCAAAAAATATCACCAAATTTCAATATCTTGAGAAATCGTAGCGTTATGACAATACAATTTAATTTTTCAGAAATTTGTTGGCAAGTCTCATCTACAAATATCATTTACAACGTTGTCAAATTCACATGTTATTTTCACGAAATCTTCCTAAGTATTTATTTAAACTTCTCCACTTAACAAGGAAACCATTTTATCTTGATAATAAACAGATGGTTGACAACAATAACAATAAAAGTTGATTAGCTATTTCCAAAGGCCACTTTATAAATCTTGATTCTAACAATATTTATTAAAGTTCTGTTATTATCGGTTAAGAAAATACATAACGTACGAATTTTCAGAACTAAAATTCGATTCAGATTTCAGTTGAAAAAATGTACCTAACTTTATGGTATCAACTTAAATTTAAAAAGGAAGTTCAAATGCTACGATTTCTCGAGATATTGAAATTGGGTGATATTTTTCAACGAAATGTGGAATTTCCATATCAACAAAAATTAGGGAAATTAAAATTTGATATTATAGGGTAATAGTATATAATATATATATAGCATTACATTCGAAAAAATAAAGTTGGGGGCTCCATAGGAAAAACTGTGAATCTGGAAACGTTGCAAATATTATTTTCAAATCCGGCACTACTGATAACCCCCGTATACCAAATTTCATATTTTTATGTCAAGTCGTTGTTGAAATATTCGACCGTTCCGGTTTTTTTGGGAAACCCGTATATAGTCAGATATCATTTCAATAGATATAAAGGGTGTCCGAGAGAAGGAGGTCAATGTATTTAATTGAATAAAAATAATATGATGGATAAGGCATAGACATATTATTTTTGTTCGATCAATATAATATATGGTAGTCCTTTTCGGGCGCACCCTGTATAATCTGTGAGATGTTTGTATAGAAATTATACGTCGGTATAGGTGTTGAGCAGTTATTATTCAAGCGAAAATAGCAAATGAAAATATAAATTGGAAGCCTATAAAAACAGACCTTCCCATCGAAGATACGACTCGATTTTCTGCAAAATGAAAATGGAGATGATATAGAAAACACTTTTCAGAGAATGATGATTCACGAGAGAGGTGAATTAGAACATGAGAAACTGCTTTTGCAAGCTGCACCGAAAAAAAATTATCTTTTTGCCATTCCCTGAAATTTTATTAAAAAAAAAACAATAAGTTAAAACGAGAACGCCCGGTAGGTATATATTTCTTTCGCGAACATATAAAGGCTGCAGTTGTGAATGATGATTCTTGAATTATTGGAAAAATATACTAACGAAATTTCTTTTGAAGGAAATAAGGAGCAGTAACAAGATTAGTTTACATTTTCATCTGATGAATATCGTGAAATTATTCAATATTACTTATACATGGTGTGAATAAAGAATTCGGGAGGTTATTTCCTTGTCATATTTCAGAAACAAAAGTTCAAATAAATATGTGTCCTAAATGCTTCGTTTTTGAGATACAGGATGGTAAAGTTCATAGTAGTTACCCAGCCAACACATCTGTTACATGACATCGCTCTGAGATGTAACATTTAGGTAACAGTGCGATATCACAACCGTTACATCGCTGCGATATACTAAAGTATACACATCTGCGACATGACATCTCTGAGATGTTGCCATGAGGCAACACTGCGATTGTTTGTTTAATAATGATATCACGAATGTTCCATCGCGGCGATGTACAGAAGCGACATGATATCTCTAAGATGTCATGATGAGGCAACAATGCGAAATCACGAATAATGCATCGTTGTAATGTACAGGGTGGCTGGAATTCGAGGCTCATCATTGGAATATCGTAAACCGTAAGATATACAGGGTCGGTTAAATCATGGCAAAGTTGCACAATTTTATGCTGATTAAAATGCCGCCTCAAAAGTTTGAAAATTCCGAATACTTCCGCAGATATTTGGAAAAAATCTAACATATGCGATTTCGTCTTTATTTTTTTGTGATTTTATTTGAAGTGATATGTCAAGATGAGTTTCATCTTAGAATTGTCACTTTCTTTGCTCTATCCAATGGCATTAAAAGATTCATGTTCCTACGTTTCGTCTTCGAAAACCCATCTTCAACTTTGTTTTTTTAAATGGTCGAAAAAAAATTGTTTGTTCCTGAAAAACTCAAATTCCAATTCTAAATCCAACGACATACAACACTTTGCAATTATTTTACGTTTCGGACCAAAAAATCATTAGCATTAGTGTTATTTGATGATGGTTACGAGGAAACGAAACGTCGGATCACAAATCTGATGATGGCAACTTGTAGAAAATGGCTACAAAAATGCAGAATTCATTTTGGTCTATCTCTTATAGTAAAATTAGAAACAGATCATCTCTTAGAATTAGAAACTTGAAGAATAATTTTTTATTGAAAACTAAAATAGAGATAGACCGAGAGATAGACCAAAATGAATTTGAAATTTTCGCAGTCATTTTTCCTTCTCTACAAGACGCCGTCATCAGATTTTTGTTCCGACGTTTCGTTTCCTTGTAACTATCATCAAAAAACAGAAATAATGAGTTTTTGGTTCGAAACGTAAGATAATTGCATAGTATTATATGTCGTTCGATTCATAATTGGAATTAGAGGTTTTGAGGAATGAAAAATGTTTTTCAACCATTTAAAAAAACAACAACCCTGTTTCTCTTACGATTTACGAGATCCCAATGATGAGCCTCGAATTCCAGCCACCCTGTACAAAAGCAATCTCATATGCGAGAATTTTTCAAAAAATTTTTATTTAGATTCTTGTTCGGTGAGATAGATTACATGAATATACGTTACTCAACAAAGTGAAGCTAAATTAGTAAATACGGACACTACATAATTTTTGATAAAAATACGAGTAACAGGTCTCATTCTGATAACATATAGCAATAACATTGCATAAAATAGATCACTGTTATATCACAGAGAACTTAAGCAGCGACGTCGCATGGATGAAACTTGACTGGAACAAAATATCATCCCTCTGACATCGCATAGACGTCTATGCGACATAAAATGCGATATCACAGGTCACAATTGTTACATCGCTGCCCAATCACTGTGATGTAACTGTGTTTGCTGGGATATTGTTTTCTTCCTCAACCAACCGAGATAATCGAAGTGTTTGTATCACTGTGTGTAATTTCTATTACTGCTCCTTCCTTCTGATTTCATTTTTTTAAAGGATAATTATTTCAAGACAAACCTGAGTAACCTCGTGATGTAATCCGGCCAGTTATCGGGAAACATGACGAGAAAAAATCCGATGGCTATCAGGACCATCCCGGCCAGTTTCATGCCTTCGAAATTAGCCCCGTAAAGGACCACATCCAAGGCTACAAATGAAATTTACACGAAATATTATTTTTCTATAAGCGTGCGTGATTCACCCTATACCCGCACGCAATTTAGTTTGGGAAGTGTCATTTTCCCGCAACAGTGCGGGAAAATTTCCCCACACTAGTGCGGGAAATTTTTTCCCGCACTAGAGCGGGAAAACTAAGATATGATAAAATCGCTAGTAATATAAGTGGTTGGTGATGGAATATAAAAGTTTAAGTTTGTTTGTTGCAGTATTAAGTATGTATGTTCCGAATCATTCATCAAATTGCACTATTTATTGTAAAAATTGAGAAATATTGAGAAATAAAAATTGATTATTATAAAAATCCCCCTATAGATTTGGATTGATCTGACGGGAAACGTCAATTTGTCATGCCAATCAAACCTCAAATAAGTTTGAAATTGTCGAAGTGACAGACACAGCGTTACTGTCATTTTCGATTCAGTGGAAATGCCACAATGTGATCAAAAACTTCTAGCTATAGGGATTTGATACAGATGCGTTATCACCAACGAAGTCTTAAGAAAGGTATGAGAAGCTATACACGCGTTTTATTGAATGGTGCAACAATAAAGAAATGAAAAAACCGAATGAAGAATAGGTATTTTTGGCTCATTTCATAAAAGTGTCTGAAACCTAGACACCAAACTCCTAATGGGCCTGCTGGCTTCCGCAATGAACCAACACAATGCGTCAAACTGTAAGTTCACAATAGCTATTACTAATAATTAATAAATAGAGAATATATATCTCTTGTTAGTTGTTCCTATTTGCTTGAATAATTAATTGAACGATTCAATCAATTTCCTACGCTTGTAGAAAAAATATTGTTCCTAATTCATGCGGAAAGTTTCTTTCCCGCACTCGACTGCTTGCCCGAACTCCGCTTCGCGTCGTTCGTGTCAACGGCAGTCACGTGCGGGAAAGAATCACTTTCAGCACTTGTTAGGAAAATTACTATTTTCTACCCGCACGCAATTTAGTTTGGGGAGTGTAATTTTCCCGCAGTAGGGCAGAAAACGTTTTCCCACACTAGTGCGGAAAATTTTTATTCTTTTCTGCCTAGTAAAAACAATAGTAGTTTGTTTAACTAGACAGAAAAGTACAAGATTTAATGCCGCGGCTGATTATAGGCTAGGAAACCAGCCAAGGCATTACATCTTCTTTTCTGCCATGTGAAATATACAATTTTTTATCCAAATTCTTTTCAATTTCACGCAAAGTCCAAATAATCCATCATTTTTTGTTCACCCAAAGTCATTGTCAATTTTGATTACCGATTCGATTCAAATTACTTGGAACTTTGCATAGCAACAAACTTTTTCTGCCTAGGCAATAAAAGTACACCTTTTCTGCCTGTTAAGTGTCATCAAAAAGCCACTTTTATTGTCATTTGGAGAAAAATAACTTTTTTTGTTTGATTTTCTATACTTTAACAATTAGAGCTAAATTTGGAAATTAATGTTGCAATTACTGGAGTTTAATTCAAAGATGAATAAGAGCTTAATTGAGGGTTAAATTGAAAATTAGTCCGAAAATTACCGATTTAACTGAAAGATAAGTATTGATTGAGCAATGAATCTGGCACTTGATAGAGCTTCAATAAAATATGGATTATGTAATACTGCAAATAAATCCCGACGAACGATACATTTGCATTTAACATTTGGATCTATGCATTTAATATCAATTGATTGAGAAATTTGCAATTTGAGCTACCTAATTAAAAGATCAATCTTGCAATTAAGGTTCCATTTTGCATTTAGAGCTTGATAGTAGCATACATCTTGCATTTATAGCTTTATCGAGAGATGAATCATGAACAGGAATTTTTCATTTATATATAGTAAATGGATAAATCTTGCACAAGGCCTAATTGAAATATTGAGGTACATATTCCAATTCAAGTTTGATTTTATATTTAGAGCTTGATTGAGGTATTAATCTAGAGCTTCAATAATATATGAATAATACAATACTGCAAATGAACCTTGATGAGCGATAAATTTGCATTTAATATCAATTTATTGAGCAATTTGCAATTTGAGCTATCTAATTGAGAGATTAATTTTGCAACTGAGGTTTGATTTTGCATTTAGAGCTCGATAAAAGCATACATCTCGCATCTATAGCTTTGTTGTAAGATGAATCATGAACAGAAATTCTTCATTTAGGTAATGAATAAATCTTATAGAGAGACGAATCTTGCAATCGAAGTTTGATTTTGCATTTAAAGCTTGATAGTAGGATACACCTCTTTAGATTTGTTGAATGATGAATGATGAAAGACGAATTTAAAAATTAGAGATCAATCTTGCATTTACTACTCAATGAATGAATCTTGCATATCAAACATAATAATTGAAATTTTGAGATAAATAATGGAAGTAGATTTTGATTTCATATTAAGGAACTTGATGAGGTGATGAATTTTGCACTTCACTGAAAGATGAATAATGCAACACTCCATATAAATCTAACTGGAAGATTGGAGATGATCTAGCATGATGATAGGATAGACTAGGGATAGACCATGCAAGATTTATTATAGAATTAGTGCTCATCAGTAAGCATATAGGTATTTCATTTGCAAATCTTAGATTTGCAAATGAACCTTGCACTTGAAAAGATTGATTGAGCGCCTTGATTTTAATTTATTTATCTTGAACCAATTGTGCAATTAGAGGTGGAATTTGCATTGATGAAAGATACAGACGGAATAAAATTATTAAATATTGTTATATATTTATCACGTTTCAATTTTCTTTACCTGCTGACACTGGGACGGCTGTTATCAGTCCCAAAGTGATGAAGAGGTCGTAGGTGAGAGCTACACTAAAATTACCTAGTAAATTGGCAACTGAAACAGAAAACCACGACCTAATTAGATTAGTGAACTGGATGATTTTCTTGGTTGATAAATTTTTAAAAATAAAAAATGTCGAGAACTTCATTTTTGGGTATTCTGTTCGAATTTCAGTATTTGATACAAATAAGAATTGAATTAATTGATTTGGAAATTTTATTTTATAAAGGAATATGTGTTTCATTGATTTGTTATTTTGAATGGTTGCCCAAGAAATAGTATAAGGTACACCGGGGTGAGTGGAACCGCGAATTTCAATAGCTCCGCTATAAACTAGAAAAAAATAATAATAATGGGCCATTCTCGTTCCAATTTGCCCCATATCCATGGGACAAGTGTAACTGAGAGTGTCCTTGAAGTATTCCAGTGGCGCCTTTCTTTATTGGAAATTTATTGGAAATTTATCGACTTTGCATTTGAAGATCACGAATATTCAATGCACGATTCAACATGGACAAGTGGAACCTAACATATTGTTACGTTATTCGGGTGAAGAAGCGAACACGACACTATTTATTTTCGAACTGATTTATTTCAATTAAAGAAACACTAATTTATAACGAACTTATAACTACTATTTATGTAAAACGATTTATATCACGCGGTATATAACTGTCTCTCTGACACTCGCTGCTCGACTGACTGACGGCAGTTGTTCGGCCGTTTATATATGAGATCCCTTGGAAGGCTTTGCTTCGAGAACGTTCTCGAATGATCTTCCGTCTCCTTCTTTTTGTTCTACATAGAAGCTTCTCAAAACAATACCTCTCTCTCTCAGTGGCGGCTCGTGACTTTCATGACAGAGGAGGCTGAATGATATGAGATATATTGTGAAAAACAACTCTCTACTCACCCAAATCAATAGCTTCAATGACATTCTGTTTACCAGGTAACCTGAACTCAATACTTGAAAAGATGTGTTCCTGTGATTTGCAGTGTCTATTCAATCCGCGAGGCAAATTTTTCAAATCATTATATCCTAAATCGCCCCCAACATGATGACTTATTGGTTGAAAATAATACGCAGTACCAACAAAATAGCTTACTCCTTACCTCAGATCCCGTCAACCAGATATATTTTTTATAATTATCAGAATTGAACGAACGATTTTGTTTGTTACCTGTTACAATCAGATTTTTTAATTCCGGTGTCGGACGTTTGTTTTTCACAATCAATTTATCTTCATAAGACAAAGCACTGAATGGGTTCACCAAAAAGTATTCCACTAAATCGCAATCATTTAAAACACTCATTTTTCATAAATTTATAGAGCCCCTAACCATTAACCTAACATAAACATAAACAATGCACTCGCGCTGGATTTTCCGCAATTCGCGACGCGACACGACAAACACGTGCTATTCGGGCGTATTCGGGCATTTGCATTGCGCGCGTGGGTTGCGAATTGTGAAGGAGTCTAGCCTCCTATAGATGTTGCCAAGTTGAATATTTTACGCGTGATTTGCAGACTTCAACGTGTGATGCGTGGGCAAGCACTGTTGCCAATTCAAAAATATTTACCTAAAATCAGGAAATGAAATCAAAGTCCATGTATTTTGGTGTCCATTTTATGTTACACGTGGTTACACTTTCCCCTATACGTTATTTTCAAGGGGCAAGTGTATAGCCTATGTTTTTTTCCCTCCATGTGAACAAATATACGTCCTTCATACCTTCAAAATACAAAGTAGTATTGTTTTTGAGCTACCCACTTCAATAACTTTGAATATATTCACAATTTTTTGAAGTTTGGTGTGCGAAGCAAACGGACACTATTTGAAATATCGGCAAGGTCTAACCATAATTCGTGGGTTGGTAGCTTGATATATCACTGAGCAAATTCCGGGGAAATGGGTAGGTCCATTATGCAATAGACAGAGCCTCCTTACAGACAAAAATGTAATGATAATCAGCCTGGGTTCCACTTTCCCCAAATTTACACTTACCACGGTGTACCTTTCGCAACACGTCCGAAAATAGTTTTTTTGGACTCACAGACTTCCAGTCCAAAAAAACAGTATTTTCCGGTCTTGTTACATAAATTACTGATTTGAACTCACCGAGAGAAAGAACACTGGATGTAAAAAGCGCCGGCCAAGGCAGAAGCTCCCAACGCATCGTCTCTACCCCCATGAGAAACAGGCCCAAGGACAAAGGCCACAAAAGGGTGGCGTTGAGCATTCCGATTAGGGAGAAGAACAGAGCCACCTGACAAAAAAAAACACGGGATTGTTCATAGACATCAGCTTTATACCAGTAATGTAAAATTTTTTCGATCATCCAAAAGAAAAGCAGCTTTGGTAGAGGTAAAACTTACGAATTTTTTCATTCATGCTAAGACGATGAAACAAATAAATTAGTATATGTCCATTTCAAAACACACAATTCCTGCGCCATTTGAAATTTCATCAATTCATTGGTGTGACTGGTGCGACGTCTCAGTCCCAACACGCCTATTGTCCTTGAACTGACCAATTACACTGCAACACTGCAGAATGACGAGGTATCAGAGAGAAATAGCTACAGTTCGGGACTAATACGTCACGACTCCACCATCATATTTGGCTGTTTGAAATATCGAATGAAAAATGCTGATTTCAAAACGATATAGATTCGATTCCCTTCAACTTCAACTCATAATATTGATTGTACATAAAATGTAGATCATGATTCGTCGATTGAAAGAGGTTTGCACGGATTTCTTCTCTCAGTGGTCTTCCCCATTCGAAGGACTTGCGAAATATTATACAGGGTGGGTCACGGTCGATGGCCTATTAGAAGTATCTGGAGAACGAAGAAACAGAATATTCTGAAAATTAGGATGCTTCGATAATTGACTATTCTCTATTTGTCTGAATTGTTTTCTTCGATACAGTGTTGCCACTTCTATCAGAAACAACTAGCAACTTTGTTATTTTAAATGGAGCACCCTGTATTTTATTGCATTTTTAGATTCTTTCTAAAAATCTGATTTCATCAATGTATCAAACTTGGGGTCTAGCAGGAATGATTACAGAGATATAGGGTGTTCAAAATCGAGATTTTTCAATTTTCGAATTTTTTTGTGTCGAAACTATTCATTATCGATCAAAACGGTTTACATGTCCCACTATCTACTGATATTTAATTGGGATAGATACAGGGTGATCAGAATTCTGAATCTGAAGCACCCTGTATTTTTTTTTAAATTCCAGTAGATATAGTGACACCCTGTACCTACCGAGTTTTTCCCCAATGGTTAAAAAGAAAAAATGTCGGGATCCCTTCAACATCACAAAGTTACAGAGGCGGGCACAATAGTTTTGCTGGAGGATTAAAAAAATTTGACTTTGACACCTAAATCAAATTAAATTTCAAAGGCGTACATACAATTTTTTTTTGTGACTCCAGGAACGTGCCCAAACTTTTTTATGAAGGGTTCATAAATAAATATTTTGAATTTTTTCGTGAAGGCTAGCTCATTCCTTAAGAGTGAAATGAAAATAAGAATCACCAGGGTCGTACCCAATATTTTTCCAGAAAGGTACAAAAATGAGAAAAAAAGCGAATCCATTACCTGTTCATAGATCGCAGTAGTTAAACTAAGACAGCCTCGCCATAAGTATAGGGAAATACACGCTTTACTCTTAACTGGAACGCGGCCTGTGTTCTGGCGGAGGAGCGGAATAACACATCGATGACAACAAGATTGAATATTCATATACAGGGCGTTTGAGTTGAATGAAAATTGAAAAAAAATATATATACAGAGTGTCCCATGGTTCGCGGTCCAATGTTTCAGCATGGAAGAAGTGTTTGAGTTGATTGAAAAAAATATATACAGGGTGTTTGAGTTGAAGAAGATTGAAAAAAATCAACGACGACTTTCCTGAAGAGGTACAAAAATGAGAAATAAAATTCCAAATTTCTCTCGCGACATCTAAGTAAAAACAAAATTGCAACTTCAAAGGCGTACCTACCTATTTTTTTCCAAGGGTCAAGAAGAAAAAATATCGGGATTCTATTAACATGATTACAAAGTTTGAGAGGCGCAAAATTTTGGCACCTAGCTTAATCAAAACGAATTTGGAAATTCAAAGGCGTACTTACCAAATTTTTTTGTGACTCCAGGGACGTGCGTGAACATTTTTTTTTAATTTCTAGAGGCTCATTCCTTAGAGCGAAATGAAAATAAAAATCACCAGGGGCGTACCCAATATCTTCCCAGAAGGGTACAAAAATGAGAAATAAAATCCCAAATTTATCTCGCGATATCTGAGTGATAACAAAATTGCAACTTCAAGGGCGTAACTACCTTTTTTTTCAGGGGCCAAAAGGAAAAAATTCTGGGATTCCTTCAACATCATCACAAAGTTCGAGAGGCGTGCACAATAGTATTGCTGCAGGATCCGAATTTGGAAATTCAAGGGCGTACATACCTAATTTTTTTGTAACTGCAGGGACGTGCCCAAACAATTTCTGAAGGGTTCATGAATAAAAAATATTTTGAATTTCTTCCCAAAGGCTCATTCCTTAGAGTGAAATGAAAATAAAAATCACCAGGGGCGTACCAAATTTTTTTCCAGAAGGGTACAAAAACAAAAACGAAAAAAAAAGCGAATTCCATCACCTGTCCGTAGGTGGCGTCTCCGATGACCTTCCTGAAGAGCACCTTGTAGACGGCCGAACCGGCGGCGGCCGACGTCGCCAGAACGACGCCACCCAGCGTCGGGCTGCCGGTGATGCCGTCCATGTAGGCCAAAAGAGCGACGCCAGTGTCGCATATTATCACAGCCATTATCTGGAAACAAGAGGGTTATAGCACAGATTAACAAACCTTATTGTTGATCTGTGGTTATAGTGAATCATTATCGTTACAAAAGAAAACCAAGTATGCGAGGTAGGTATACAAAATTCAAAATACAATAGTTATTTATTATATAAGGAAAAAAAGTAGTAGACTTTAGCTCCAAGTTGTGTTGTATGTATCCCGACGCGTAGCGGAGGGAGACAAAAAACCGTGAGCTAAAATCTAGTATTTTTCCCGTGTATAATACACTTTTTTTTCTGTGACAAAAGAAAGGACGAATCAATATTGATAAGATATTACATTATTTTGAAATCTGAAAATTATCGACGTGAAATTTCAAGTTTTTAACAGTAGGGACACCTGCGTTGTAGGCATCTTTATTTATCATTCTTTTGAAGTAATCAAATATCTGATGTCACTTCTGTCAGTCTAATTCTGTGATTTGATTTCAAAACATTGCGAATTTAGTGGTTGTTCAGTAATATACGTAACCGCGAAGTGGAATGGAAGATAAAAGGACTTGCAGTTCTTTCTCGGAGACGGTATTATTGACTCGTTTTTCGAAACTAAAGCACAACAAGAGCCATCAATATCAGTGTATATACAGTGTGTCCCACTTACCATGCTCACCATGGGTATCTCTTTAACGGTGAGAGATACGAGGTCGGTTAAATGACACCAAATGTGGAGTTTGTCAAGGCCAACTATAATGTGAAAATATATTTTGATAAAATCTATTCGTTTTCGTTTTATTCGCAAAAAACAGATTATGATCATTTTCATGTCTCCTCCGTAACTTCTTTATTTTTGAAGATATTCAAATAGGAATTTCACATTCTCATAGCAGTATTTCATAGTGATTTCGAAAAAAATATGAAACTTATATCAAATCTTCTAGAATTTGAGATATCAGCACCAGCTTTAGTTTTTCAAATGTAGGTCATAGCTCACTATGACTTAGTTACAAATAACTTTTTTTTCTCTTACAGATGATATGTCGCAGTTATAGTTTTGTGTTGATAACAACGGAGTTATCGTCATTTATACAAAAATAAAAAATTATTTGGAAGCCGCCATCTTGAATTTATAAATTTTAACAAAAAAATTATGATCTCCGACCTCAGAAACCCCCACTTACCAATTCTTGAATGGAATCGGACCAAATCTTGTCCGCCATCTTGGAGCAGCCATTTTTTTTAATTTCAACAAAAATTCCATAACTCCGATCAACTTGAAATTTGGCAGGTGTTCATAATTTCGGTGACAATACATTCTGGAATTTTTGTTGGAATTGAAAAAATGGCTGCTCCAAGATGGCGGACAAGATTTGGTCCGATTCCATTCAAAATTGGTAGGTGGGGGTTTTTGAGGTCGAAGATCATGATTTTTTTGTTGAAATTTATAAATTCAAGATGGCGGCTTCCAAATAATTTTTGTTTTTGTATAAATTACGATAACTCCGTTGTTATCAACACAAAACTATTACTGCGACATATCATCTATAAGAGAAAAAAAGTTATTTGTAACTAAGTCATAGTGAGCTATGACCTACATTTGAAAAACTAAAGTTGGTGCTGATATCTCAAATTCTAGAAGAGTTGGTATAAATTTCATATTTTTTTCGAAATCACTTTGAAAAACTGCCATGAGAATGTGAAATAATCCAAATCTGTTTTTTGCGTATAAAACAAAAACGAATAGATTTTATCAAAATATTTTTTCACATTATAGTTGGCCTTGACAAACTCCACATTTGGTGTCATTCAACCGAGCTCGTATCTCTCACCGTTAAAAAGATACCCATGGTGAGCATGGTAAGTGGGACACACTGTATATGTGATATATATATCCGGGAAAAAAGTACTCACTTTTTTCCCACGGGAAAAAAGTAATTTATGAAAAGTGACATATTATAACCTGCCAACAGAGATGAAATGCCAATCTTTTATCACGTCACAGAAAAAAAATTTATTTTGTATTTTGCATTTTTGTACTATTTTGGTACAATGTGTATGCACTCACTCTGATGCCGACGAACTGTTCGTGCAAAATGACCCACGACAGAAGATAGACGAAGGACACATTGGTGGCGAAAAGGGCCATCACGTCGGTGGCCAGCAGTATCCTCAAGGACAATATGTACATGTAGTTGGTGCCGACCCACAGAAGGCAGAAGAGGCCGCACCGCGTCATGAAACGACCTTGAAAACAAAACATGGTCCTGTACCTCGAGAATGTTTTTTTACTGCGATTTAATGTGCGCAAGACGCGTTGAAAATGTTCTGTTGTGTCCATGAAAAGGGTTTAAAAAGAACTAGGGAGAAGGTAATTTTGTGACATATCAAGGACATCTCGATAATTGCCGCCTGCGGCGGACATTGGCTGTTCTATAATAGTTCTATTCATGTGTGAACAAAACATCGCAGTGGAGGTTCAATGTCTCGAAATCTCGTACTTTTAACATCTCTGAGATGTTCTTGTGCTCGCTGGGTAACTATTTAAGAAAGTTACAGAGCTCTGAGGAAAAAACGGTGTTCAGGACCAGTACTTCAAAATAATGAAATAACATTTTTCACTGAAACGGCTCATTGCTCACCTGCTGTGAATCCTTTATCCCTGAAATCCTTCATGCTTTCTGAGAAGATGTCGGACATCGTTTCGCATCTCCTGTTGCTGAGCCGACAAAGAAAATACAGGGGAAAGAACAGCATCGTCCAATTCGTTACGAACCATGTGGTGAAGAAAGGTGCTTGATACGATGCGGTCTACAAAAAGTACGATAACTCAGCTCAGAAATAAAATGATTGGAAAAAATTAAGGATTTTTTCAAACACAAACGACATAGTTATCAGAAGCTATATTACATGTTTCCTATAAAAATGTCTTCATACCGTTAAAAGAATATCTTTAACTTTTTTCGATCAGTTTATTTGAAAACCGAAAATAATGGAGAAAAATCTTCCACTCACTAAATAAGCGATAACAGAAATTTAATAAAATTGATTCGAATAGTGTTTAGTACTTGTATGACCCTATATAACAGTTTGGTATTTGTATTACCCTATATAGTATAGATGTTCAGTTGTTATTGAAACATAAGATTCATCACAATTAAATCAATAAATGAAGAAGGTTTGCAATCATTATCATATGCATACAAATGCAGTCCACGATCTATCAAGCATCGAACATATTATTGGTCCTTCGAACCGGATCTTCAAATTATAACTGCCAAGTTATTCACAAAGGATACAAGGCAGCCCTCGAGGGCTCGAGAATACCTAGAGTTAGTGAATGTCAAGCAGCTGGAGCTTCCACAAGAAGCAACAAGCACTTCAAGCACACATATAGTACCTAAGTACTTACGTATATCGTTTGTACTATGGTGAGATTGAGACCGCTGATGTCATGTGGGAACTGTGGGATCATCACAGAGTCTACGCTGGGCGCTACGTCTTCCGGTTGTCTCAAATAGAGATATTTTATACTGTGTGTTGCTCCCACCCATGACGCTGTCACGCACACCGTCACCCATATACCGAAATAAATCTGGAAAATATGTCAAAATGCTTTGTTTTCAATTAAAAATTAGATGATACGATGATAATGAATGGTCTCACGATTTGAATCATGAGGAAAAATACAAGGAATATGAAACAAAAACAGTCAGAACTGTTGAATCACAGACAAAAATACCCTTTTCAATGAGGAATGAGTATGAACACAGATTCAATTGTTAAGTTCGTCGAAGTCATCCTTTCGTTTTTTTTTATGTTCTGATGGTTCCCATGAAAAGGGATATATCCTGTAATGTTCAGAGAACATCGTGAGAACCAAGGGAAATAAGGTAGGAATTGGTGTTCTTTTTAAATTTCTGGAGGTAATATGCCTCGGGGAACACCTCCCTTGGCAATGTGATCCAGAGCCTCGCTGTTCGTTGGTTGAACGAGTCTTCGGAAAGAGATGTTCTGCAGGTCTCCAAAGTGACCACGAAGGGTGCGAAGCCTCAACTCGACGGGTTAATCTCGCGGGGACTGCCAAGGGAGGAACAATTGTTGATATTTCAGAAGAGCATCGTCCATGAAAATATCTGTAAAATAGAGCCAGATCGCCAACTTTTCTACGGTGTTCCAGAGAAGTGAGTGAGTTTGTGAGCGAGGCATCACCCACGAGACAAATTGTCCTTTTTTGGACAGAATCCAACAGTTTCAGGGTATGTTTGGGTGCTGCACTCCAAATATGGGAACAGTATTCCAGGACAGGTCGGATCTGTGCCTTATAGATCATAAGCAGCTGACTGGAAGTGAAATAGCTCCTGGCCAGAAACAGAAAACCAAGTTTTTGGGATGCACTTTTAGCAATTGATCTCACGTTATTTTCCCAAGAAAGGTTATTGGTGATAGTAATCCCAAGCATTGAAATGGATGTCTTCAAAGTTATGGTTACTCCTGACAAGCTTATGTTGGGCACAGTGAGATCGGCTTTTCTAGAGAAAAGGCATGCTTGTGTTTTGTTTGCATTGAAATCTACTCCCCCTATTCGAGAATTGTTGCCAAGTCCATATTTATGTTGTCAACATTTCTCCCTCGTTTGTTTCTGATTTTCCTGGCTGGAATTGGAGCCCTGGAAGAAAAGGTGGTATGGAGGGTACTATCAACCGCGAAGCTGTATCCTGGACATGAAGTTGCTTCCAACAAATCGTTGAAATGGAGTAAAAATAGCGTTGGTGCTAGAATTGATCCTTGCGGAACACCAGCATTTATGATGAGGGAGTCAGATGAAACTCCGTCGACCACTACATGGAAAGACCTGTTTGAGAGAAAACTAACTAGCAGAGAACATAACTGGGGAGGCAAGCCATAATATGGAAGCTTGGCGAGGAGTCCGTGGTGCCAGACTCGATCGAATGCCTTGGAGATATCAAGTGCTACGGCTAAGGTTTCACCATATTTTTCAATAGATTGCTGCCATATATGTGAGACGTAAGCGAGCAGGTCACCAATTGATCTCTGATGACGGAAGCCATATTGCCTATCGTTGATAATACCAGAATGTTCTATTCCGACGAATAGATTTACGATACCCTACTTTCCATATTGCTTTGAATGTAGGTATTTGTTGTACAGAATATACATCGATTTTTCATCAAATTGTTACCAAATTTCATAGAACATAATCAAAGATATTTGAGACAAAGTATACAGTTGTGTGCATTAACAAGTCGTACAAGCATTGTATGGTGTAAAGCTGACTATGATGTTCCAGATTTCATTGAAAAGTAGTACACGTACACATTTGCGCGTTACTGACAAAAATAATTTGAATTTTGACACTACTTGTCAAAGTCGATGAGAAGATTTTTCAAGATTGACAAGCCTGACTCACAATAGCCTATAACTGCTGTATGACTTGTTTATGCACAGAACTGTACATAGTTATTCTACGGCTATAACACAAGATTGCTCTGGTTTTACTGTGTTCGATACATCAATGAGGTATACTTTGTATGTCATCAATTTTATTTCCGTATCTGATATCACAATGACTCCATTGTGTTATTATTTGAAAAAAAACTCATCGCCCATGGAATGTCAAATTTCAAGCAATGACAGCTCTGTCTATTAGATGAGCATGACTTGACAGGAAATCAGATAGCTACAAGATGGAGAAATCGAAAATGCAGCAGTTATCTATTATAGGCGTAGAAAAATTAAAGTGTTTAGCTTGCACGGAATGGTAATTTCCTACTCCAATGATTGCAAACTTCATTCTCGTAGGTAATCACTATCATTCCGTGCTCGTTGAACAATATACTATTATTGACCATCCTTCCCCCATTTAGGACAAACATAGTTCTAGTAGCATTTCAAAATACATTGAAACAATGGGAAAGCCCACTGATTTTTTAAAATGACATTATCGTGAACTCTATACTGAAAATTTCTAGCGAATTAATTTTGAATTTTGTCATACATGCTAAGACGATGAAAATAATAAATTAGAATATGTCCATTTCAAAACACACAATTCCTGCGCCATTTGAAATTTTGTCAATGCATTGGTGTGACTGGTGCGACGTCTTATTCCCAACACGCCTCTTTTCCTTGAACTGACCAATCACACTGCAACACGGCAGAATGACGAGGTATCAGAGAGAGATAGCTACAGTTCGGGACTAATACGTCACGACTCCACCATCATATTTGGCTGTTTGAAATATCGAATGAAATATGCTGATTTCAAAACGATATAGATTCGATTCCCTTCAACTTATTCAACTCATAATATTGATTGTACATCATGATTCGTCGTTTGAAAGAGGTTTGCACGGATTTCTTCTCTCAGTGGTCTTCCCCATTCTTTCACAAATGGAACAAATAATACACCCAGTATACTGTTATATATACTACTAGTATGTTGTGAATGGTTTTCACTTAAAATAGCAAACACGCAATTTTCCTTGAAAACCACCGGAAAATCTGATGGCGGGAAACACGCTAATGCTCGATTATTCAGTGTACCCCGATATCTACGGTGTGTGAAAAGAATACTAAAATATCATGTGGTACGCGCTGAATTCAGGTAAGAATAAATATGAATTGCTGAAGAAAATTGCATTCGGCTTACTTGAAAATATGATGGTTCAAAATTAGTCTAGTCATAATATAATTGTTCACATAATTTAAAAAAAAAAAAAAACTATTTATTGCCCAAACAGGTACAAGACCCACTTACAGGACAGCTTTTTACAATGTGTACATGTAACTGTGAACAATTACTAAAATCTAAGAGCCAAATAAAGTATTTTGATAAATCATTCAGTAGTTGTAGAAAGTGATTTCGATTGTAAATAATAATGATAATAAAAAAAAGAAAACGGAAGGAAACATATAATAACATGTATTAATGAATAACATATGAATAAAGAGGGATTTTTTCATATTTGCCTCGTAAACATCACAAGGTAGAAAAAATATGTTTTATTTCCTTTTTGAACACTCCAATGGGAGTTGAAAATATATCAGTTTTTTCGCATATCTGAACTTTTTGCACATCGAATGAATTGGAGATTTCAATAGTATATTTGTTCTTGGAGTAGGTAAATAAAAACAAAGTGAACATCTACTGTTCAAACGAGGTATGTTGAAATTTAGTTGAGATAATAACTCTGGGCAATCAGGTTGTTTGTGAGTTTATAGATAAATATGCAAGAGTGGTAAGTTCTACGGTCCTCCAGAGACAATAGTGAAAATCTGTTTAATAATAAGTTATTATCTAAACCTTGTTCAGGATAAATTCCATCAATTCTATATACAATATACTTCATGAATTTCCGTTGAATTGATTCGAGCAGATGAATGTGATTCAAGTAAATAGGAGACCAAATCAGCGAGCCATATTCTAAGCGTGATCTCACATATGAGGTAAAGAGAGCAATGAGGCTATCTTCATTTTTGAAGTCTTTGCAATTTCTGAAAATCAAACCAAGCATTTTTTTCGCTGCTGATGCAGTTTTAATAATGTGTGATGAGAAGCTCAATTTGGAGTCAAAGTTAATACCAAGATCTTTTTTGTTACATCACGCCTATCCAAAAAAACTTGATTTATTGAGTAAGTGTATTCGATTGGTTTGATTTTCAGAGTATAGGTAGTGTAATGAGATTTCTGTATATTCAGGGGTAATTTATTTATTTCACACCAGAATGCTAGACGGTCAATGCCATTTTGGAGTAACTCACAGTCATTATGAGATTCAAATGAATCTGAATAATTTCAGATCATCAGCAAATAAAAGAATGTTGCTTGTTATATTTTCACCTATATCATTCACAAATAATGAAAATAGAAGAGGGGCTAAATTGCTTCCCTGAGGTGAGCAGTTTCAGCTGGTTATTTCATGAATTAAATATATTCTGCATGATTTCATGGGCACCTTATCAATATAAATATAACTTTCAGCATATTTCATTATCAGATGCACATGCAAATTAAAAAAAATACACATCACAATCACAAATCACGCACCCTATCGGAGTGTCACGCTATTCTTAGGCAAACCAAACAGAAAATGTTCGAAGATATAAATTTATGCATTTCTAATATTGTTTGTAATTCAAGTTTATTGCTATAAGTATCCTATTCAAGGAAAATTTAAATGATCTACTCCTGTATTCAACTTTTTCAACGGACAATTATGAAAAAAAAATCGCGAAAACAGAACGATACATTATTGGTGCAATTACAGTGAGACTTGGTCCAAAAACTATTATTTTTTACTGACGTGACGAAAAATATTCCAATTATTTGAGTAATAAGTGTATATAGTTCATTATTTAATATGTACTTATTTATAGCAAGCACTGCTGAAACACAATATAAATCAATGTTGATATTTCTTCAATTGGCCTCGGAGCTGGAATATACATATTACTTGCCGGGAATATGTAAATTTTCATAAACATAAAACATAAAATTATAAGATCAAACGAACTTACCTTAAGTGAAGTTCGATCTTAATTATACGAAGCGTTTCCTTCGAAGATGATCAG